ACCAAATAATGGGGCCATTCTGGACAGGCCATTCAGGGTGTGTTGTGCCGCCTTAACATCGTCGAAAATAAGACGATATCGTCCGCATACCCCTGTGGTTAGCAGTCTGTGCGACTGCCCTTCTTGTATATTGCCACTGAAATCGATTCGCTCCAATTAGCTGGGACAGGCTCTTCCTTCCAGATACGTTCGAATAGGGACGTCAGTGCTTTACAGAGAACCTCACTCCCATCCTTGAATAGTGCAGGTGGGAGGGAATCCGCGCCAGCCGCAGGAAAACGATTGAGGGTTGTAGTCGCGTTCCGGACCTCGGCCTCCGACCGAGGCTCTAAACTAACCGTCCATGACTCGTCCTGTATCACCTGAGTAGGAAGAGGTCCGGGAGCAGGGGGCTAGGTGAACTGATCTTGAAAGTGTTCTGACCAACGAGTCATACGGCGTTCCTTATTGTGTATCAGTGCACCTGTGCTGTCTCTGATTGTCTCACTGACGCCTAGGTTTCTGGGACCAGTGGCGCGGTAATTGCCTACTGCTCCTGCCTCCTCCATTTCTTGAGCCCTACTGGTCCACCAGGCTTCCTTGTCAGCACGCAGGCTCTGCTTTAGTTCACGCCTAATAGCTCGTCTTTGTCACATTGTGTTCAGAGCTAGCCGGGAGGTTTCTTCTAGATTCCAACCGGTTCACCGACCTCTCGTATATTTAGTAACTGATGGATTGTGTCACAAGCAGATGCTCCTGCGTCGTGCATGGAGGCCGAGATCCCATTCCACTAAAGCTCAGTGTCATTAGGACAAGACAGCGAAAGTTCGGTACGCAGTGCGTCTTGATAGACTTGTCTGACCGAGGGCTGAGACAATTTCTCGGTTGCCAATCGGAGGAGAGGCTTGGTGCGCCTTCCGGTAAAGTTCATGGAGAAACGACAGCGTACCAAGGCATGATCAGAGTCGACGCAGGTACTTCAGTACGAGCGGCAATCCAGTATGAAACCACGCCACCTGTAACTTATGGCTATGTGGTCAATTTGGGTCCATCGCTGGCCAGCTACAGGTGGACGTCAAATGGCACTTCGGCGCCCACTGTGTCTAAAAGTAGTGCTACTAATAAACAACTGGTTCTCCGCACACAGTTGCAGCAAACACTCACCGTTGTCAGTCTGTTCAGAGTTAAGCTCATAATTACCATCCAGCTGAGCTTCTGAAGAGCTCAGGCGCCCTACTTGTGCGTTCATATCCCCTGCAAGTACTATAATATCTGAACTAGTAGCACTGCGTAGTAGCGCGCTCAGTTCGTGATAGAATGTGTCCTTGATAGCATTAGAACTGCAGTCGGTGGGAGCATAAGCGGAAATCACAAGCAAACAGCGTTTTGTACTACTTCGTGAATCCACCTTAGCTGATGTCGTCAAACGGGCTGCACATAAACGGCTGTTCAGGGGAATCCAATCAACCAACGATGGCTCAGCCTTGGAGCTGAGAATGATACCTACACCAGCTTGACCCGTGAGTGCTGCATCAGCGTCTCTGGATGCGTGCAACCAATACGAGAGGATAAGCCGGGTGCAGTTAATTCATTAACCCCGTTAGGGTCATTGGTCCCAGTTTCGGACACACGACGCACATCAATACCCAGTGTGTCCAAGGTGCGTGCGAGTGCAGCCTGTTGACCTTTTTGTCTTAGAGTGCGAACGTTGAATGTTGACATGGAGACGGGATAGCGTGGCCTTATGAGGGACTTTTGCCTATATGTGTTTTGGGATGTTGGTTGCAGATGGTTTTACTCCAGTGTCACTTCGGTTGCTGTCAATTGTTCTGGGAATTATAGAAGGAAGGTTAGTACTGGGGGTCGGGATGGGAGTAAGAGAAACAGGTGGAAAAGGAAGAAGGGAGGCGCTAGCAGTAGTGGCATCTTTTTGTTTATTCGCCCTGCTGTATGCAACAGTTAAGGTGACCCTTGATAATCTGCGCGACGGCCGATGCGGGATGAAGTTTATGTTTGAAGAATGTGTCATGGTTGTATCTGGGCTGAGATACTGTCAGGGCGCCCATGAGAATGATTAGGGTCCTCATCCAAAGCCTTTGGCGTAAAAGCCTGTCCGCAAAGCAGTGGGGAGATGGCAGTGATTTCGTTTTACAGGAATGGACGCCATCTCATTTTAAACTTCCAAGCTGGAGGACCAGGAGACTGAGTTTGTCTGATCACGTATCATTGACCAACCTGGTGGGAGTAGCTCTCAAGATGCTCGGAGGCATCACCGAGTATAGCTCAATGAGTCAATGATGTACGCAAACCGTCGCACCACGTTAAGGTCCAGTCCCGTTGCGAAGGAATGGAGCGATTACTTGCTTTTATCCACCAAAATCTGCTTTATATGCATATTGAACCGTTTAAATATGAACCTTGTGTAAAAGAATGTATAGTTATCGGTAATGGCAAGAAACAGGAGGTTAAACGCTATATGAATAGATTTATTTCATTCTCACCTAATCTCGTTTGAATTTTCGCGCCGCAGCTTGGTGGTCCGTTACCCACTTCACTACCCGAATCATAATAGCTCAACGGAACTGAACTGAAACCTAACATTAGTTCGACTTATTTCCGTCTGTTGAGCAGCCGTTTGCACTCCGTAACCATTTGTTGGTGTGTGTGTGTGTGTGTGTGAAATAAGATCCAGCTTTCAATGTAACCAGTGCTGTTGGAGATTTTGTGCTGCAGTGTAGACCACTATTGGGTGCTACTAATCAATAATTAAATATGCACTCGCGTTGTGAACCTTTTTAGGGTAATTTGATCGCAGCAGACAACCGAGTGTGTCCTGTTCTAGCAACACTGCACACGCATCCGTGGACCATCCGTCCGCCTACTGGTTCTTCATTAATTCACAAGCATCACCAATAAGCTGAACTTCGCTGGGGTGGCAAGTAACACGCACAATTTTTAATTGGTGCTTGCTGAATACTGTATTGTGGGAGCAAGTAGAAATTTGAATTTGTACAACTCCATCGAATTATGATCAAAAACGTTTACAAAGCAAACTGACTTGTCACTACGCTGATCGTTTTTCACGTTCTCACATTATATCGTTAAAAATCGTTTAACTCACAGTAGATTAGGTTTCAAAAATGTGACATGCTTGTGGCTAATCATTCTCGGAATGTACTATTTGAGAAATGCACATCTGACGATCGTTTGTATAGCTGCACTTAGTTCGCTTCCACTAGATGTTCCCGCAAACCGGTCCAGACATTTGCCACTCTCAGTACTAAGCACAGTGGATAGGGAACTCGCTTCATATCTGGAACCACAAATCTGAATTGGTGTCCACATGTGCTGCGAGGCGTTCGCAAATGGAGCAGTGGCCTTAACATGAGGAAACCGCCCACATGTAGAATCCGGTAGGTCATGATGAGATCGACACGCAACCGACGGTATACTAGGGTGAACCTTCCCAATCTCTCGCACCTTTCCTCCTACGGTAAGCACCGCAAACTGGGGATGAGCCGGTATTGAGAAATTATCCTGTGCAGCCAATTTTATCAAGTTGATTAATGTAACTGCATCAAATGGAGTTGTTCATTGGATCGCATCCACTGGACGCGAAGTCAGCATACCTGCTGGTTGATTAGCTGAATGAACGCTGGACCATGCCATGTTGTATCAATGTAATTGCCTTACTTGCTTCTCTGGGATTGTTAGGACTGGTAGTACTTTTGGGGCACTGCGATTGCTTCACGAAGGAAATTTAGTGTCGCATTCGTGTTACAGCCAATGGTTTGGGCCAGTAAGTGGCGGTATATATCGAATGGCATCAGGTAGGTTATCACTTGTTCAACACCAGATGATATCAGTATAAACCCACATGGATTATGATTTACGACTGCAAACAGGCTAGCAGTCTAAGTAGACCAATCGTTCGCAACCCCATGCCATCACAATTTCTTATAGCTGATTATTGACAGCGTCACCTGAATGTACCTAACTGATACGTCCGCATACTGTCCGCATACCTATCACACGATTCGGATCATCTCCGACGCTGTTGTTTCACAAATCAGCACTGTCTGATTTAACACTTGATGTAGTTCCAATTTCGCCCCTCATTTTCTCACTGTTTTCAACCAACCAGCAGTGGTCGAAGTAGCACTAATCTGATAAACTGTTGTTCCTTCCGTTATCCCCACGGTTGCACCGTTACATCACCACCGCAGAGTCCGAGGAACGCTCTCCATGATAATGCATGCACTGAGGCACAATCAATGGGATTTCAAAGGAATCACGGGAGTCTCCAGAAGATTCGCACACCGATGACATGCAACTGTGAGAGCTAGGATGGTTTATCTAAGCGGTTCCAAACCAATTCGATTCAGAAATAAGTTGTCCAAGCGTCTACGAACTGGTTTTCCCTACGGACAGACTTCACCACGCTATATGCGTGCTGTCGGGCCGGTATATGTTGTGATTCGGCGTTGAAGCTTTCTTAATTGTTACCTTCTATGGATACATGTCAACATTGTCCTCGCAGCTACAAGCGAGTACCCGCCATTCTTCGTATCTTTACTTGCTCTTAGACGCTTTGCCTTGGGACGATTTTCCATATTGAGCGATCAATTCTTTAAAAAAAACTTACATTTACTCTTGACTGTTGTGGCATAAATATGAGAATTCGACCACCCGCATTCTGTCACTTGTCTTTCGAGGTCCTTCGTAGTTCCCGCCTGAATTTGCGACGAGCTCCAGTCATGCCCTCTTAATGCTCGTGGAATGAATATTCTCTAGTTGTTTACACATAGGCTAACCAGTGCTTCCTTGTCCACTCCCAAATTTAGACGAATGTCTGCATTTCGCACCTGACCTACCGATAGCACACTGTTCAGTCATTGAAGCATCCACTTCCGATTCGTTTTACACACCGTTTATTTTCACGCAATCCACAGCGTATCTGTTTCATTAACTGTTACATGTCTTCTTGTTCTACTCTTTTATCGCACCCACTCCAACAACAGATGTGTGATTGGTGCAATTAGCGAACGGGAGATGACGATAGTGGAGAATGTTCTGCGACAGCAACCACTCGCTGGGCCTTCCGTGTGATACCGTGTCCGCTGGCCGTTCGTGGAGCACTGCTTCCACAGTACTTGTATGCCAATCCTTTTCTGTATTATATCCGTATCGGACCTTGATTTTTTTTCTACAAAAACCTTTGCATTCCCTGTATTTCATTGGACCGTTACTGCGTGACTTACCTTGTGCCATTAAACATGAAATGTGCGTTCGTATACCATTTTTCATTGGTCTTCTCTTCACATAGGTGAATAGCGGTGTTCGAACTGTGGCTACCTCTGAAATTCCAAATCTGATAGACCATCACTCCGTTGGTTTAAACAAAAGAGAACAGTCCACGCATGTGTTAACGGAATCAAATTATCTGGGTTGGCATGTTTCGCGCAAAGTACCGACAACAATTTAGGGCTTTAACCATCCCCGTGGTCCTTTCTACACTTTGGCAGCGCTTCACATCACTTCCATGGCCAATTTTCTGCTGAGGATTCTCAAGTATAAGCAACCAAAGAGTGGGTTCTTTACCCGTACATAATGTTGCACAATCATTCACGACTTTTGCAAATCATCTGTTGCATTCCTTTAGTTCATTTTATGCGAGCACCATGCAGTCGGTCGATGTTCTCAAATATTGTCTCACATTAGTTTAAATTATGCATTATTAACATTAGATGCCCAATGTGCTACCGGATGGTCCCACGGAGCGCTTGCCCCAGGCATCGGACCCTATTCTGTTTCAACTTTTGGTCTAACGCCATACTGCATGGCTCATCGTTTTGAGTTTGGCTTTGTCACCCAGCTCATTAACTGCTTTGGGTATACCAACAATATCCGGACATCACATCCTTTACGGCAAGCGGCCTGCCTAGATATCAGGCATGCACAACCTTACAATGCAAGCACGATTGCAACCTTGAGTGAAAGATGTCTGGCTAGTTTCGTAAACCAATAACCGAGAGGACAACGCTTTTACCTTGTAGTACGGAAATCACCTGTAGTAACCCCGCATTAGTGCACGCATCCTGGCGAAATGCCCAGCCCACGCACGACCGGCGGTGATCGCTTGGCAGCAGAGCGTCGGTACTGTGTGCCGGTATACTGCAGATTCCTTTCTGTCTCTCTGGCTAGCTTCAGTTATTTGATTGGACATGCGTTTTATCCACTTATGCGGATTCATTATTATTGTTATTATTATTCTCAATAAGAACCTTAGCATGATAGCACCGCACGATTTATATCCGGAAAAATTTCTCCGCATATTATCAAGTGCGTACTGCAGATTGCGTGCAAACATATGTACATAGCATCATGAACATCTGGTATAGTCGGGATAGCAAATTTACCGAAGGACGTACACCAGATTATGAGTTCCAGACAATACTCACCGCTCGAATCTAAACATTTGAAGACTTGAAGGAAGTGAGATCGGAAGGAAATGTAGTAGTTATACTTCACCCAGAAAAGGGGTTAAGTGCTGTAGTGCTGAATAAAACCGATTATGTAAGTAAGGTAATGACGATGCTCAATGATCGTACCAACTTCGAGGTAGACAATACGCCTAATCACCCAGCTGAACTGGAGAAGAGGATAAACACGGAGTTACAAACGTTGCTGGAGGGAAACAGGCCCAGACCGTTAAATCCTTGAGATCCAGGGACACGCAAACACCACAGCTCTATGGGTTGTCAAAAATGCACAAGGAAGCTGTGTCACTGAGACCGATTTTATCTATGAACACTTCGCCGCAACATAAGTTGGCTAATTGGTTAGCCAAGGTACTTGAGCCAGTCAGGAAGTCAATTGTTACTTACAGTCTAAAGGACACATTTGAATTAGTGCAGCTACCGAACAGCATGTCCAGCATTGACATTGTATCATTGTTCACGAATGTGTCACTGAAAGAGATTATCCAGATTATATGTAACTATGTGACTGAGAGTCAGTTGGAAATAGGTCTTCCAGTCTATGAATCGGAGAGATTGCTACTCCTGTACACATTGAATGTAAACTTTTATTTTCAACGACAAGGCTATCGACGGGTGGATGGTGTCGCAATGGGCAGTCCACTCGGATCAGTGCTAGCAGATATTATCGTTGCTCACCTCGAAAATCAAATTAGGAACGAAATTAACCAAGCTGTGCTTTTTGCAGGTATATGAACGACATTCTGCTCATTGGTAATCAAGAGGTCCATCTCACTCAACTGAGTAACAAATTAAATAGCCTGCACCAAAACATCACGGTGACAACGGAACATGAGCAGAATGATAGTTTGCCGTATTTGGACATCTTGATAGAACGCAGGAACGATGGATCGATAAGTAGATCTGTCTACCGCAAACCCACATGGGTCAGTATTTGCACTTTCGTAACTTTGTCCCAAAGCGCCACAAACAGGGCTTGGTGCGGACTCTGTTTGATAGAGCGAGGAAAATGTGCACTCCTGACACGCTCTAACAGGAGATGCAACTACTCACCAACACCCTGACAAAAAACGGCTACCCGCCTGCTTTCGTCGCTCAGTTTAGCAACCAGATAGCAGAAGAGAAAGCACCCACCGTACCGAAATTGAAGTAATGCTGCAACTACCATTTACAGTGGACTATGTAAACCAAGTATTTCAACGACGTTTGAAATCCGCAGTGGCACGTGTGTACCCCGCGGCGCAACCGGTATTACTGTACACAACGACTCGCATCCCTATACCGTCAGTTAAGCCACCAGTACCTCTGTCCAACCGTTCACACGTCCTTTACCAATTTACATGTAGTTACAAGGCCGACTACGTGGGTATGACCGAGCGTCAACTGCAGGTAAGGATTGCGGAACATTTACCGAATTGGGTGAGACGACTCGTCTCGCAAACGACCTCAACCATTTCCCCAAGTCCTATGGATTTGCCATACAAAGTTCCAACCTCATCAATCTCCCGACACCTGCTGACAGACAGACAACGTGGACCTTGCGAGCACATTCTGGGTGATCTTCGCGTCAAATAACACTCACGTTTTACGACATGGCGAAGCAGTGGCCATTTAACAACTGGACCCTATCCTGTGTGTGTGAGTGATTGTGTCGGTGTATATCCTTTGGTGAATTTGCTATCCCAACTATACCAGATGTTCATGATGCTATGTACATATGTTTGCACGCAATCTGCAGTACGCACTTGATAATATGCGGAGAAATTTTTCCGGATATAAATCGTGCGGTGCTATCATGCTAACGTTCTTGTTGAAATCTCATCGGGAAATAAATGCTTCAGTTACCCATTATTATTATTATTATTATTATTATTATTATTATTATTAATCGCCATTTGAACTGATGATTAGCTGCCGTAAAACCACAGTGACCTACGGAACAAAGAAGAACGAAGAATAATAATAAACCTTAATACCCTAAGCAAACATTCAGGGTCAAGGCGCCTACACCGTGTCAGCAACATGCCATCACAAACAGCTGGCTATCGTGCAAAGATGAGACGGCATCAGCGAGACAGCTTCCTTGCGGCTTTCATTACCCCATGTTATAATCGGACATTACCCCGCAGTTAACTCAGCACCGAACACACTATAAACATGCAGTCCGAATACGAGACGATCGCAGACACTACAGTGATGCCTGCTGCCATGTCTCGAGCAAAGCACAAAGCGGGTCATGTGGACTCCAGTTTGGAAACCGAGATGGATCAACGGCACCCAGTTTTGTAGTTATTGACTTCATTTTTGCCCACCCCGAGCGTTCTGTCACCCCACACCTGTCAAACAAAACATTGCTCTCCTCTGTAAGCGGTAACTGGGCATACGTAGTGCGTGCCCGAGCCAACACCACTTATTCAGGGCTGTATGTTCTTCTGAGAAACTAGCATGGTTATCACTACCTAGTATTCGCCTACGCACATCATCAATGCGGATACGCTGGTGCCACCCGACACCAGCAATGCTCTGCAGACAATGATTATCAAAGACTTGAAGGCACCTCAGATCGGAGAGACTGTCTCACTACCATGGAGTAGGATGGCCCACACTATGGCCTTGTATTTACGGCCTTTTAGACGGAAGGCAACCTATTTCTCACGCCACAGATGTCGCAGTTTTAGGAAAGCAGTCCTAGCTTTTGCAACACCTGAACTGCCTTCAGTGGTTATGCACCCATCGTTGCAGCTGCCAAGGTAAGTGAATTGATCAACTACCACGAGTTCCTCGCTGTCAAGGATCAAAGGATCACCAAGTGGTTTGTACTCCTGTAACAACACCTTCAAATTGAAGTTGCGAAACGCTTGCTTAGATGGGACCACTCTTGAGAACACGTTCATGGTTAACTGGGCTACCCGAAAGACAATATCTTCAGCATAACTAAGCTCAAATAGCTTTTCACCGGGAAGTATAACAACGCCTGCATCGCGAGATTCCTCAGCTGGCTATTCTATAGCGACTATGATGCTTAGACCAAGCAGTCACATAAGACGGGACAAGTACCTATACTATACGAACGGTCTGTGGTTCTACAATCCAAATTGAAGACAGTAACCAACTTACGAATAGGTTTGCAATCGTAATAGGAAAGTGCGAACTGGAAGACTTGCGTCGGCGTGGGAAAACCGTACAGCGTAGCAGCTTGCTTACCGGCAGTCTGTCAAGGATGAAGTGGTTGACCTTAAAGGGTCAATGATATGCCAAAATGTAAATGAAAAAGTAAAATGTTTCACAATTACAACTTGAATAGCACAATAAGGAGACGAAGCTTGCAAGATGGTACCGTTTCGTCCCCTATGTTCACTTGCAAACGGACAACATATCAAATGATAACGTGACAACAAAGAAATCAATAAGTTGAAAGCGTGAGGTCACATGCAAGCAAAGTAAACGTTGACTACAGGTTGAAGAGGAATTATCAACTCCAAGGGAGTGTAACGAACAATTAGTTCTGTTTGAGAATACTTTTTATCGCCACTGCCTCGGCAAACTTGAAGACTCTGACGTTTGTGTTACGATAGATGACATTAAACGCCGAGTTAGGGTCCGCCAGATGACCCGTTTCCATCAGGTGTTTTGCAATCGAAGAGGCAGGTAGGTTGTTCGTCGAGGCCGGTCCTGTTTACGGCTGCCTTGTCAAGGTAGCGATACACTTCGGAATGTGTTCCGCAATCCGCTTACGCATCAACGGTCTGTTCTGCCGATGTAACTGCCTCCACGGTTACAAACATGTGTACGC